CTGTCTTAGTTTTTTAAAAAATACTTTCTAATTTCTCCTGAACTTTCTCTATTACCTGTTTTTTATGGAGAAATATGTCATTTAATTTTCAATATTTAGAGATTTTATAACAATTGCTCTCCTATTAGTTTCTAGTTTAATGACACTGTGGTCAGAGAATATACTTTAAATTATTTTAATATTTTAAATGTATCCTAAGGTTTTTTACGGTTCATTTGTGGATGATTTCTGTGCTCTTGAAGAGAAAATGTATTTGTCAAATGAACACTTCTATAAATGTCACTTGGAGTCAGTTGATTGACAGTGGTGGTTAGCTTTCTATTTCTGCAGATTGTTTACCTGTTCTATCAATCACTGACAGTAAAATAGTAACATGAGCATAAATTGGGGGTGGGCTATCTTTCTTTCATTTCTAGATGTTTTTGCTTTAAACCTTCTGTGGTTATATTATTAAGGTTAGCATCTCATTCTAAATGTTAGAATCCTGAAATTTTAGTTTGTTTTATCTTCATGGTGTCCATCAATAACTTCATTGTAATGCTATGTATCTTCAACGTCCTGGTGTTTTCATGACTCTCTACTCAGCCCATACATTGTCTTTGCTCTGTTAGATGCTTTTGTTCTGTAGAACAGGTAAACAATCTGCTCTAGCAAGTGGAATACTTTATTTTCAGTGGAAAAAAAAATAAAACCAGCAGGCACTGGAATAGTACCCTAGGAAGGTCACCTGATGAACTCTGACCTCCACAGTCATGATTGCAGAAGTCAGTTAATCTCTTAATTTGCCTCTTGGCTTTTGCCGTTTCCTTTGGCTCTTCCAGTGGTTCTCAACATCTGGGTCACAATTGAGGGTCGCATATTAACTATCCTGCATATCAGATATTACATTACAATTCTAAACAGGAGCAAAATTACAGCTATGAAGTTGCAACGAAAATAAATTTATGGCTGAGGGTCACCACAACATGAAAAATTGTAGTAAAGGGTCTCAGGATTAGGAAGGTCGGGAACCACTGGTCTATTTCTTCTGGGGCTGGATAGAAAGATAGAAAATGAAGGGAACCCAAGTAGGAAAAGAAACCCCTCACCTTGGAATGGAGTTTCTTTTCTGGCTAAGAGCTAAGTAACTGCAACATTGGCAATAAACCCAGATAGCCTGTTTTCCGAAGGACGTCACCAGCAATGAGCTGTGCTAACCTAGGGCCAGCCTTTTTGTAGCCTTGATCAATTTTAATACAAGTCCCTCATCCCTAAACCTAAATAGTCTACATTATAAAACCAGCTTATATTTCATTTAAAATAATTTTTAAGAGAAGAAAAATAAATCAGCCTGGGGAGATATTTCAGCTCGTAAAGTGTTGGTTTTACATTTTGATCCCAGGAACCCATTTTTTAAAAAAAGAAATCAGAGCAGAAACACAGTTTGCTATCCCAGCAGAAGTAGAAACAGGCAGATGCCTGAGGCTTGCCAGTCACCCAGGCTGTTCTAGCAAGCGGAATACCTTATTTTCAGTGGGGGGAAAAAAAACAGCAGACACTGGAATAGTACCCGAGGAAAGTCACCTGATGAACTCTGACCTCCACAGTCATTCACACATTCACATGCTTAGGCACACATGAACATTCACACACACACACACACAGAGAGAGAGAGAGAGAGAGAGAGAGAGAGAGAGAGAGAGAGAGAGAAATCAGCTCACACATGTTTATTTAACTTTCAAACTTTACTTGAATTTTGTTTTCCTTATTCTTTAGGCTTATTATAAATTACATCACTTGGGGAACATAAGTTAGGAATTTGCAGATTCACGTACACAGTCACTGCCACAAAGTGTGACTTTCTCTCGAGATGCCGACACCCTTGTCTTCAGATGTGTACCATCCTTTACCTTTATGAGTCTTTCTAAACACTTTAGAGCCACTACCTCTGCTCTCTTCTGATTCGTCATGACATTCCTTCCATGCACAGCATAGTAGTCCACCACCTCGCTATAAGTGAATGGCTGTTCTGAAGGGAGAGGGGAACTTCTCCAGCTGCTGGTGGCTCTGTTGGGCTGTGGTTTCTGGTTGCTACTGCTGCTACTTTGCTGTCTTGCTCCTTGCAAGGATGACCCTATCTTACACAATCTTGGGGTGGGGGACATCCAAACTCGGCCATCTACATGTGGTCCTGGAATCCTTAACCCAGGCCTTGCAAAGATTTCAAGGACAGTAGCTTCAGAGTCAATGTCTTCTCACCTGTTTACTCGAATTATGACCCTCAATGATGATTCTGAGCCATGAATGGGAATCTGCCCCATCATCTGTTGGGACAGATTTCACCAAGTCACAGCCAGGTCCCTGGTTGCTGAGGGTGTGGTGGGTTTGCCACTGCTTCTGGGCATGTGAGTTGGGACAGCCATCACCTCTCTCATTGTGTTTTTCTTCCATATAATAAAATAAATCTACTTCCCAGTGTTGTTCTGATGAAAATTGAGAATTGTGTCAAGTTTAGCACAGAACCTGGGATGTGATGGGAATGTGCTGTTCATTCGTGTTTGTTCAATTCATTTCCCTCTCCCTCCTTAACTCCCTCCCTCCTCTCATCCTCTCCCTCCCCACCTCGTGCTCCTGTGTGGTGTGTGTCTGTGTGTATTCATGTGTGTGCATGTGCCATATAGGCCAGGCTAGCTCATCCCGAAGGTCCCAGGAGTACCCCAACTCATCGCATAGTACAGGGTTACAGATGCACACTGCCACACTCAGCCTTTTGTGTGTCTTTCTAGGTCTGAACTCACTTCTTGAAGCGAGTGCTTTGGCAACTTAACCACTGCCGCCTATTAATGTTATCTTTCAGGAGACAATGATGACATTTGGGTTGGCTAGGATCAACCAAATATAATGGCAATTACATATGTTTAATGTCTCCCCTGCTCCCCGAGCCCACTCCTATCTCCCATGTCCCATCTCAAAACTGTGCCTCTTCAAGGCCAGTTTAAATTGTTCTCCAAATACACCAGTGTCCCAGTTTGATCAAACCCAGGCCTTTTCCCTCTTAAATTCTGTCCAGTTTGATATAAATGTCATAATCTAAATAAATGCAATCAATATATAAACACATCCACACTGATCAGATTTGGGGCTTTATTGTGCAATGAAAAAACAAACCTAAAATTTAATTCTAAGCCTATGTAATTCAGCTCTTGGGAGCAGGACATTATTCACAAAGGAAAAAAAATATTTGTTTGAAGGACAGAATATATTCAGAATTGTTTATTTCTGCAAAAACCCATTTCCCCTAAGCCTTAAATTTATGTTGCTGCTTTTAAGCAATGAAGTTATTTTTATAAAATCTAGTTAAGCAGTTTAATGGAAATAGCATTGTTTGAATAAAAAATTGCACACATGTGTGACTCTGAAATAGTATTATTTAAGCCCCACTTTCAGCTTCTAATGACAAATTGCCCCTCATAGAGTGAAATACATAATGAAAATGGAAGGGATATATATGTAAAGGAAGTTAAAAAATATTGTTATTATGCATAAAAGGAGACTGCAAGGATGTGTAAGTAAAGGGAAAGAGGTGTTTTTCTTTTGTTGTTGTCTAAATAGGGTCTCACGTAACCTAGAGTGGCTCTAAACATGACCTTGGACTCCTAAACCTTTTGCCTCCACCTCCCCAGTGCTGGGATTATAGGCTTAAGAGTCCTGTTCTTGTGGGTCAGGTCTTCCTGCATGCTAGACAAGCATTCTACCCACCTAAACTGCATCCCAGACCCTGCCTTGTCTTTCTCTGATTTCTTTGCCCTCAACAGAAACTCTACCTTAGCCTTGCTCATTGACTAGAAGTTGTTAGAGAATGCTGAGAGCAGAAATTGAGCAAATACACTGACTCACTTTGGGGGGCAGTCTTGAGTGGGTGGGGAATTTGAAGAGTAGATGAGAACCTCTTCGGACATCCCTATTCTGATATGGCAGACAAGATCCATGCCCCACCAGGGATCATGGCATCTGAAAGCAAGGGCATAGGCCAACGGGATGGATGAAATTAAGCAGCATGCTGGAAAGGTTGGGGATTATATGGCACCTAGAATCTCCGACTTGGGACATTCTTATCAACCAAATACATCCTCGCACTTTTTAGAGTGTATTTGATGGTGGTCCCAAGGGCTGTAATGGGACTGAAAACTTTGTTGCCTAGAGACATTTTTGGTGTGTGTTCTTGGTGACAGCGCTAGAAACAAACCTAGCATACATCCAGCCATACATACTTGGTAAGAATAATAAATGACAGTTTTGGTTTATATGTTTATCATACACTATAGCTGAAGGTCATTTGATTGCTTCTGTCCCCTCAAGGACCCTGATATGACAATTTTGAAAAACATTGTATGCCTTAAGGAGATAGGTTCATCTAGGTGATTGGGGACACTCCTTTGAAAGGAGACCCTGCTTGTCATCTCTTTCTGCTCCGGTTTAAGGTGCTACCACTTTTCCTTGCTAATGATCTGCCGTCCTCACCGTTGGCCACGTCCCAGTGGCTGCTTAACCTTTGTCTTTGAGCCACTAAGACTACAAGCTGCGCAAACCTCACTTGGTTTTACAAATGTCTCTGTCAGGCATCTTATTGTACTGCTGGAAAGATAGTATACTCCACTGCGTTTTCAACTGCTCTTTTATTGTGTTCATACTTAGAAAAAGAAGTATATAGTGAAAGCCTACCATGTTAGACCCACAGAATCTTCACACAGCTTGAGTATGCTAATGTGGGAGGGGGGCATTTAGAGGCACCTGGAATTTTTCCCTACAACATGGAGAGCACTCTACAATAGTCACACAACCGGGAAATCAACCACTGACAACATTTCTCAAAATGTATCTCCATCACGACTGAATTTTAAAGGGGAATCTTCCAGGTAGCCCAGTCTTGTTTTCCTGTCTTGAAGAAGCACACGGATATTATATTTTTCAAATAGGCCAGGTCTATCCACTGGAGATGGCCAAGGAGAGTGGGAAAAGGGTTTGGCAGACCATTTTCAGAAGTCCCTTTCTTACCGTGTCCGGGTCATTCTTTTCTCATCCCCCTTGCAAGATGAAGGGTAACACCCCAATGAGCTACAGTAGAAACACAGTCTGACTCTATCTATCTACAGAGATCAATCTTTACACGGCAACCTTGCATTTAATCAATGTAATTTTGACTTACTTAGGGTGACTACTAGCTTATTTACTTGGGAGGGATATCGGGGAGAGGCTTGCTAAGGGATGATAAACTCACATATGTACCTCTTGCTACTTCGACAGGCCTCATCACTCCATTTGCCCTGAGCTGACTGGGAGAACAGAACACAGTTTTCCCGCTTGCCACCACTGGGCTGGGCACGGTCCCAGTTGAGAAAGGAGACGGCGAATCCGTGGACATCGAGGAACTTGCCTTCTGTGACCATGTCATTTATGCCCAGCCAAAAGTCGTTGACACCCGGCAGACTCCTCTTACTATAGTCACGGAGGGCGCTGATTTCGTCGGAGTTCCTAGGGACAGCCAGGGTTCCTCCCTTGGAAATGCAGTCTTCGTTGGCTTCATGGTAGTGTTTCAGGCCTTCTGAAGCAAGGTAGCATTTCCTATGGACTTTGGTGCCTCGAAGGCAGACTGTGAAGAGGGGAAGTTGGATAATGAAACAGGATGCCTTTTGTGTACGACCACACCTAACACCGGACCTAGCAAGCACGGATAGATGTTTGTGTCTTGATTAATTTGTGGACAGTAACGAGCTGCCATTGATGGTTTTATTCATTCCAGACACAATAAATAATAAGCACTCGCCAGTTCAACAACCCCCTGGCTTGGTGGCTTGGCTTGAAAGTGTGGTGTTTTGTCATCCGCATTTGTCAGGTTGTTGACGCTTAGAGAAATTATTACAACTTGACATGCCCCCAAAGGGTTTAGAGAGCGTATAATGAATTCATACCCACAAAAGACTCAAAACATAACCTTAAGCCCTAGGTTACTTTGATAGAATTTGTAGCCCAGTTGATGTAAGGAACCGCACGGTGGGTTTCCTTGGGACTTTTAGAATGGAATGGGATTGCGTAATAATTTAAAAAGCAAACACAAACCACCTGTGACAGGGCATGCCTATAAGTGTAGCACTTGAGAGGTTGAAACAGAATGCTTGCCTATGAATTTGAGGTCAGCTGGATCTACAGTTCCAGGCTGGCCAGCCCTACATAGACAGACCTTGTCTCAAAAAAGAAAAAGAAGGAAAAAAGGAAGGGAGGGAGGGTGGGAGGGAAGAAGGAAGGAAGGAAAAAAGCAGACAAAAAGTCAATGAGAAAAGTGTCTCCCCACTTTGGTTTGTTTGCTTGCTTTTTGACACAGGATCTCTCCCTCTCTATCCCCCACCGTGTGTGTGTGTGTGTGTGTGTGTGTGTGTGTGTGTGTGTGTATACACGTGCGCAAGTGTATATACACCTGCCACAGTGCATTTGGCAGAGGACAATATGTGGGAGTCTGTTCTCTCCTTTCTTTAAGTGGGCCTCAGGAGTCAAACTCAGGCTTGGCGGCAGGCACCTCTGCCTGTTGAGCCATCTTGCCAGCCCTCATTGTGGTTGTTGCAGACATGGTCTCATGTAGTCCAGGACGGCCTCAGATTCACTATGTAGCTTGGGATGACCTTCAGCTTCTGATTCTGCTGCCTCTACCTCCTGGTTCTGTGGCATTAGCAGGCATGTGTCATCATACCCTGGTTTTGTATGTGGTGCTGAAATGGGACCCAGGGCTTTGGGTTTGTGAGGCAAGCATTCTGTCAACTCAGCTGAAGCTGTGTCCTAAAAACAAGAGTCTTGACACAGATACCAGGCTGATGTGGAATTTTCTCTATAGCCAACTCTGGCCTTGAATGAGCCTGTACTACTAAGTGCTGGGATTACAGGGCTTGTACCACCATGCCCAGTGGAACTGTGGTTTTCTTACAAAGAGGACTGGGGACTAGTAATATTGCTTAGGTCACCCAGGGTAAAAGAAACCAACAGATAGTTCAAGGGTTTAGTACTGTTGAGCCACGCTCCAGAGTCATGGAGCATGATTTAAGTCTCCCTCCCTCACATTTAATATAAATTATTGGAGAAGTCAGTGTAAAGTGACTATTCAACACATATACTGAAAAATTAATTTTTAGGCAGTAGCCTACTATGGTGGTGCATGTCTCTAACCCCAGAATTTGGGAGGTGGAAGCAGAGTGTTCAGGAGTTCAAAGTCAGCCTCAGCTGTGTAGTGAGTTTGAGCCCATACTGCTCAACACGAGACCCTGTCTCAGAATAAAGCATTAATGGTGTCAGAACACACAGAAAGAGTAACGTGATTTTTCTCATTACACAGGATCCTTTGCCCTTGCTTTAGCTTTCCAATTATGTATCCCTGGAAAGCTGGTAAAAGGAGGGTTATCACCCTGTTCCTAGGCAGCATTGTGTATGGTGAAGGTGATCCTGATTTAGTAATATACACTAGCTTGGGAGTTGTGACTACTTGATGAAAAGCTGTGATTGCTACCTGATGGCGCTAACTTTAATAGGTAGGCGTCCTGTAGGGACCCTCAGAGCTCCACTCTTGAAGCAGGTATAAGAGACCTTGGTTCCTGGTATCCATCCCTAGGACAGGGATACTCTGGACCTGTGAATTCTGCTCTCACTCATTCATCTTTTCAGAGCACAGCTCCTGGCCAGAAGTGTGTGCAGCTAGCAGGCCATGGAGGAGGGCTTCTCTCCAGACATAGTCTTTCAGCAGGCTGGGGCCCTAGCCAATATCATAATCATCTTATGTTGGGTGGAGCCTTGTGGACCTGTTTCATCAGGGGCTCCCTGAAGGCCCTCAGTGAACATCTGGTAGGCAATGCTTCATTCCAGTCATTTAGTATTCCTTTCATTATGTTTCCCCACCAATAAAGAAGGTAATTAGGGCTGGGCATGGTGATGCATGCCCCTAATCCCAGCACTCTTTGTTAGGTTGAGGCCAGCCTGGTCTGTATGGTTAGTTCCAGAACAGTCAGAGCTACATAGTAAGACCCCGTCTCAAGCAAGCAAGCAAGCAAGCAAGCAAGCAAGCAAGCAAGCAAGCAAACAGAAGGTATTTAAGACCTGGCCTTTAAATTATCTTCGTGTGTGTGTGTGTGTGTGTGTGTGTGTGTGTGTGTGTGTATCCCTGTGTGCGTGTTCCAATGTGTGTTTCTGTGTGTCTGTGTGTGTTTCTTTGGGTGTGTCTGGGTGTGTGTCTGTGTGTATCTCTGGGTATGTGTGTGCGCATCCCTGTGTCTGTGTCCGTGCATGTGTTTCTGTGTATATGTTTTTATGGGTATATTTCTGTGTATGTGTTTTTATGTATGTGTTTGTGTGTGTGTGTTTGTATGTTTATATTTCTCTCTGTGTGTGTGAGTGTCTGTGCATGTGTTTCTGTGTGCATGTTTCTCTGTGTGGAAGCCAGAGGACAAAGTCGTGTGTCTTCCTCAATTGCACTCCACCTTGTTTTCCTAGTGGGCATTTCACTGTACCTAGAGCTCTATGATTCAGCTAGACTGGCTGCCCAGTGATCCCCATGGAGCCTCCTATATTCTCACCCTAGCTCTAGACCTGGATGCCCTGGAACTCGGAGATCTGCTTGTCTCTGCCTCCCGAGTCCTGGGGTTAAAGGCGTGTGCTATGTTTTTTCAGACCTAGGCCAGCTGGCCTTGGTGAGATCCCAATAGAACATCCCCATTGTCTTAGTGTGTGGGTGCACCCCTCGTGGTCCTGAGTTCCTTGCTCGTGCTCCGTCTCCTTCTGCTCCTGATTTGGACCTTGAGATTTCTGTCCGGTGCTCCCGTGTGGGTCTCTGTCTCTGTCTCCTTTCATCGCCTGATGAAGGTTAATATTCCTGAGGATGCCTATGTGTTTGTCTTTGGATTCACCTTCTTATTTAGCTTCTCTAGGAACATGAATTATAAGCTCAATGTCCTTTATTTATGGCTAGAAACCAAATATGAGTGAGTACATCCCATGTTCCTCTTTTTGGGTCTGGCTTACCTCACTCAGGATAGTGTTTTCTATTTCCATCCATTTGTATGCAAAAGGACTAGCTGAACATAGCGGACAATGAGGAATACTGAGAATTCAAGAACAATTGCAGTGGGTTTTTGATCCTACTGCACGTACTGGCTTTGTGGGAGCCTAGGCAGTTTGGATGCTCACCTTACGAGACCTGGATAGAGGTGGGCAGTCCTTGGGCTTCCCACAGGTCAGGGAACCCTGATTGCTCTTCGAGCAGATGAGGGAGGGGGAATTGATCGGGGGAGGGGGAGGGAAATGGGAAGCGGTTGTGGGGACGAGGCAGAAATCCTTAATAAATAAATAAATTTAAAAAAAAAAAAAAAAGGCGTGTGCTAGCACGTCTGGCTGTCGATGTCTTTTGTTTTTTTATCATGCTTTGTCTTTTGTTTCTTTCTTTCTTTTTTTTTTTTAAACAAACAAACTCCAGAACTCAACGTGCGATCTGGATGAGTTTAATCCTGGCAATGACTGGTTCTCGCCTGCTCCCCTTCCAGACCAGACTCTGGTGACCGAGTGTCTCACCTGTCTGCAGAGCTTGCATCTCCTTCAGGGCATTGACTTCCCGCCACAGCTTTTCAACTTGAGACTTCAAGTCACCATCCTTTTCTGGGCACCGTTGTAGTGGGTAGGATGGAAAACATTTGATTAGATGAAATGGAAATATATTTTTTAAAAAGGAATCTGTGAGGGTGATCTTAGCTAAGATTCCTACCTCTGGGGGATGCAGAGGAACTGACCATCTCCCACAACCAGGCAAGACTTTCAGTGGGGGGATTAGGACCCCAACCCAACCACATAACCTTCAACCTACAATTTATCCTGCCTACAAGATGTGCTGAGTAAAAGCAGTGCAGAAATTGTGAAAGTGGCCAATCAATGTCTGATCCAGCTCAAGACCCATACCATGAGAAGGGGCCCACCCCAGATGCTGGCTGGGTGGTCAGGACCCAGAGGCTGGACAACCTAGAGACCAAGGATAGAACCAAACACAACTGGGGGGAAAAGTCAATGAAATAATTCCTAATGATATTTTTGCTATACTCAGATATAGGTGCCTAGCCCAATTGTCATCAGAGAGACTTCAACCAGCACCTGATGGAAACAGATGCCAAGACCCACAGTCAAACATTACGCAGAGCTCCGAGAATCCTGTGGAAGAGGTGGAGGAAGAATTGTAAGAGCCAGAGGGGTCAGGGATACCACAAGAAAACCCACAGAATCAACTAACCTGGGCTCATAGGGGCTCACAGAGACTGAGCCGATAACCAGGGAGCCTGCATAGGACTGACCTGGGCCCTCTGCACGTGTGTTACAGTTGTGTAGCTTGGTCTTCTTGTGGGACTCCTAACAGTGGGAGCAGGGGCTATCTCTGACTCTGTTGCCTGCCTCTGGGATCTTTTCCTTCTACAGAGTTGCCTCATCCAGCCTTAATAGGAGAGGAGAAGCCTGGTCTCATTGCAACTTGATAGACCATGGCTGGCTGCTATCCATGGGAGGACTGCCCTTTTCTGAAGAAAAATGGAGGAGGAAGAGTGGATGGGGATGTGGGAGGAACTGGGAGGTGAGAAGGGAGGGGAAATCGCAGTTAGAATGTAAAAAGCAAGCAAACAAACAAGCAAACAACAAAATGACAGATTTGGAATGCAAAATCTAAGGCAGTGGAGGTTCTGATGAAGCCAAGTCAAATGTGCCCTGGAAACAACACACGAAGAGAACCTGGGTGACAAGGTTTGTAGGAACTTTGCAGATGGTATCTGCTCTCATCTCTCCTTACCAAGCTTATCTCTGTATCTTGCACAGACTTTCCTGATAACCCTGGAAGTTAGCATCCCCACTACTATACTAACCTTCCCCAAACCTTGTTTGCTTTCCTTCAGAGCGCCATCTAGGCTTTACTTACTTAATTTTCTTAGTTTTATCATCCACAATTCTCCTTATGCTTGACATGATGCTGAACATGAATGGTGCTTGTACTGGGGGCATATACTTTGTAGGATGTAAAAAGGTTCATGTTATTTGAATGTTAATGGAGGATGAGGGTGAGTGCCATGAGCTAAAGGCCATGGTGGGTACGGCCAGGACTCAGATTTAGGGGGACTCACCTCCCTCACGCTGGAACCTTCTGCGGCTGATAAGGTATGGTGGAGGTGCAGTGGCTCCTGGCAGGATTGGGTGATAAAGGATCAGGGAAAATTTACCTATGGGAGCATCACCACCTACTATTTCTCCTTATTCCTTGTTTTCCATCCACCTCATTTCCTTGTTTCTTCTCCCTTCATCCTTCACCCCCTACTCCAACCCCTTGGTGGTATTAGAGATTAAACCCGCGGTCTTATATCTTATGTGTGCTAGTTAAGGGCTCTATCGATAATCCCAGTTATTTATTCTTGAATGTTCTTAGATGCGGCCAAAGAATCTTCATGATTGTTTATGGACAACTTCAGTCGTACATAAGTGAGTAGCTGTGGCTAAATCCAAATTCTAGAAGGATGGGGACTGTCTTAGTGACCACTAAGAACCAAATACTAAACATGAATATATTATAAGATCATACACATTAGGCTGTGAGATCAGTTCTTTCACTGTCTCTGAGATAGACACTCTTGTCTGGAAGCTTACAGAAGAGGGGGCAGAGAAACAGAAAGCCAAATCCACCCTCTGAATGTCTCCCAGTCCGTAAGATGCAGAACTCAAGCGTGGGTGTCTCTGGCTTCCAGCCTGCTCTCTCCCATCCCTCTGATCTGTTTCTGCAAAGCAGCTGTCTCTACCTCCTTGGTCCCCAACACATGGACTTAGGCAGAGATGTCACGTAAAGATGATTATGAACTATCTCCAGCTGTCTCTTTGTGGGGGCTGCTATATAGAAACTCGGTTTTGTGGGATGGGAAGGTGGCTCAGCCAGGAAAGTGCTTGTCAAATTTGCCCTTCCTGAACCCAAGGTTAACTAATGAAGCCAGACATGGTGGCTTGTTTATAATCCCAGTTTGAGAAGTAGTTATAGGCAGATGCCTGGGGCTCCCTGGCCAGTCAGCCTAGCCTACTTGTCAGAACTCCAGGCTAAAAAAAAAGCCCTTCTGAAAAAAACAAAAACAAATAACTAAGGTGGGTGACATCTGAGAAATGATATTTGAGGCTGGCCTCTGGCCTCCACATGCATGTGCACACTTGTGAACACATACTGACACATGTGTGCACAGGCATACACGAAAAGACAATCGGTTTTGTGTCTCTGATTTCTTGGGAGAGCATAAAGTCCAGCATCTTAGTTCTCTGTCCCCTTAAACTTGTGCTTCACGAGCCAGATGTTTTCACATTTGGGCCAGGAAACTGCCTTCTGGGGTACTCAGCATCCCTTCCCCCACCTCTGTTTCACTTGACATTGTACATCCGTTCTTAAGCACTGAACAGCTCAACTGAAGAATATAATTACCCAAAGATGTTTTCCTGCGAGACCACTCAAGCTGGAATAAATAAAGGGGGCATTTAGGATGCAAACCCATCAGCGACTAGGGCCAGGTTTGCAAAGGCCTCTGAGGTGTTGCTTCCAACTTACAAGCTGTCAGCTAGACACACAGTTCATCCCCCTTCCTTCCCGCTCAGCTTCCAGCTCCTTTCTATTTAAATAAGTAGCTGTAAACACCATCATTAGCACAAAGACACATGCGTTCCTATTAGGCTCCGGGGAGATCATTATGGCAGCCATCACCTGGGTGCCTTGGTGGCTTCCTTTCTCCGTTGCTCAGGTGGATGAACAGAAGGAATGCCCCGAGGAGCTAGCTCACTCTAAAAGGTATATTTTATTCATTAGTATAACACGTAATTTGTTGAGACCCGCGAAGTAAGCACTCGGGGAACACTTGTATTTGCTGCTTAACTGCCGTTGCCGCTGTGAGTCTCTTAAAAGGTCTCCTGTTCTTTGGTGGTCATGATTGTGTGGCGTCAGACCCAGGATAGAAAAGCACAACAAACATTTCCAGCAAGGTGTGGGGTTGTCCCACTGAGTGAGAATAGCATAGACTGGTACTGTCAATTGAAGAGGCAATTAGAGAGTCTGATTCACAGAGAATGCCGCTTCTAGAAGGTACGCCACAGTCTCTCAGTACAAGGACGCACATATGTGCACAAAGGTCACATGTGGAACACTAGGCACTACATAAACATTGCCAAGAAAGAACCCATGAAGCCTGAGCCTCCCCAAACATTAAAGTAACATAGCCAGCTGTTAAAATGAGGGAAATACGCTTCCACTTATAGCTATCTGAACTGAACACGGGAAGTCAATTTATTTACTTGCCAAATCCCTGCAATGCCAATCTGGGAGAGATTTATCTACTGTTATTAGCAGTAGATAATTCTGGGTAAGGACTGGAGTGGGGAAGGTGGATTTTACTTTTATGTTGTTGGTAGTTTTATGTTTTTGAGACAAGGTCTTAGTGAAGCCCAGGCTACCCTTAAATCTGCTCTACCACGGTTGAGCCTAGTCTTGAACTCATGGTCCCCTGCCTCGACCTCCCATGTGCTAGGGTTACAAATATGTGTCACCACTCCAGCCTTGGCTTTCACATTCGACTCTAGAAATGTTGGCATTATTTCAAGGCACTCGAAATATTTAAAAAACAAAATAAGTGAATGTGTGGGAAAAGGAGTAACCAACAAATCTAGGCCGATGGCTTTTCCTCTTGTAGAGCTGACTTTTATTTGACCTGAAGGCAATGACTTTGAGTCTTGGGGGAAATAGTTAAGATGTGTCTGCAACTGATTAAAATAACATGCCTGCCGGGGGTGACCTGAGGATAGAAGAGATCAGGGAGCTAGAAAGAGCAAGAAGCTCACATATATATATATATATATATATATATATATATATATATATACCCTCTCCCCACAGTTGCATCTTCAGTAGAGAAGGGAGAGGCTCAACAATATGCCACGCCACTGTGTCTGCTCTCTCCCTTCTTCCTCCGTCCTCACCGGCTGTGATAGACTTCACCCCTCAAGAGAAATATCTGAAACTTTCATTTAAAGAGTTCGCAGGGAGAGGCAAATACATGATACGGGAAAACATCTCTGCTTAAGAAAACGTCCCTCAGAAAGACTTTCATAAACACCCCTAGGAAATGGCCCTTGAGAAGAAGAAGAACAAAACAAAATAAAAAAAAACCCACAAGCAGCAGCAGCAGCAACAACAACAAAACCCCCAAGGGGAGTCATCATCCACTGGTGACGTGTGGAATCTAGACTTGAGTGGAGGTTTTTTGTTTGTTTGTTTGTTTGTTTGTTTTGGTTTTTTGAGATAGGAACTCACGTAGCCCAACCCCGAACTCCCTCTCCAAAGATGACTTTGAAATCCTTGTCTTCCTGCCTGCACTCCCAAGCGCGTCAGCCACCCGTTACAGCTTGGCTTTGCGTTGACCAAAGTGAAAATGGCAAGGAAACAGTGCTACAATATTTATGTTGAGACACCCTGTTAGGAAAGTGGCTCAGAGCCTGAGATAAAATGTCACTGGGCCCACTGCATTTCTCTTTTGCTTTGGTTTCTGCCACAGGCAGGCACAGTCTCATCATCTTGGCTGTTTGCAGCTGCGAAATTTTTGTCTCTTAACCTAGCATAAACCCACCTCAAATCTAGCTACGCTTGATGAGTGAATTCCATGTCAAAATATCTTGAAGTTCTGTCTGATTTTGTGTTGACAGGTTCTTAAATTAAAGAGACATCAGTACTCTGTGATATGAAAACTTAGATCCACGGTTTCAACAGCTGTCCCAAGGCTGATAGGGATGAGGAAATAAACCCACAGGATAATCAGTGACAAAAGGAAGCCCCAGTTGCCCCAGTCATCTTATTTAATGAGATTTAGTGAGCTTACAAATATATTTGAATGTATTTATATCCAGGAGATCACAGGGCACCGCCAATGAGTGTATTTTTTTCCCTTCATCCATAAAGCCCTGTGTCCTCAGGTCCGTGTGAGCTCTAGCTCAGAACTGTTCCACACTAGCGAAACTCATAGGACAAAGGACGCATAATAGAGACTGTTTTGATTATAAGAGATGTTTTTCAATAATAATGTTACTAAAATCTAGTACATGTTTTCTTTAAATAGCAAACTCCAAATGTCACCGGATCCCCGCAAAGCCACACACCCACGGTGTAATGATAGTCTCCTAGCGCAGTTAGGGCATGAACCTTGTCCTGTACCTCCCCTGCCTGAGTAAGCCGAGGGTTTTTGCTGGGCAGTCAAGTCCCTTTACCTTTCACGCGGCGTTTGCTGTGTTTCCTGGCTTTCATTCTGGATGGGTAACTGTTGGTCTGATCCAGGAGTAAGCTGGCCACCAGGATACAAATGACAAGTCCATTCTTGGCCATGGCTCTGGGACAGGCCAGTCTGGCCACTTGGTCAGCAGCTCTGGAACAACTAGGGAGAAGAGAAACTGGGAGGCCACATCTTGCTCTGGGCTGCCTGGGGCTGACTTTATATAAAGGAACTGCAAGGTTGGCTAGAAGCCTGCTGACGAAAGACTGGAATATTCCTCCGGCCATGGCATAAGAAGGCCCCCTGTTCTTACACCTCATGCTGGGCTCCTATTAGTTTATTTTTATTCTGTTTTCATTTTCAGATTGATTTGCCTTTTCAGAGTATATTTGAGTAAAAGAAAAAATTGCCTTTAAAAAAATATATATGTAATATATTTGATATATATTGTATACATTAAGATCTGGGAAGTGTGAGGTCTCTGTGAAGGCCCAATATATAATTAGAGCTCTGAAGTATATTAAATGTCTGAAAAATGAATCCAGTTTTCAGAGTTAAAAAAAAATGTCCAAATTGCTAAGTGTGATGTGATTCAGTGGTACAGTGTTCGCCTGGCAGATGTGAGACACTGGGATCAGCTCTTAGCAACGGAAAATAAAGTGATACTAGGATCCCTCCCCCCAAGGAAAAAAACCTGAACCCTGTTAGGGAAGTTCCTGGATATGCATTGTGTTTGCATGTGTGTGTGTCTGTGTGTGTACGGGGAAGCATATCACAAACCCATGTGAAAGCCAGAGGCAGTTCTTTCCTTCTACCATGTAGGTCTCCGGGTTCAGACTCAGTTCTTCACTAAGGTTCCCAGGGTCAGAGATGACACTACAGTCTACTTTTCACTGACTTTGGAAGGCTTGGGCTGTGAAAATGAGCTTTGATTGAATAAGGGGAAAAGATCAGTGTGTAAAACAAACATTGATTCCACAATTGATCAAAAATACTTTTTGCCAGCTTTGCAAATCCCTTCCTCAGAGGATGAAACATTCAAGCTGCCAAACAATGATGAAAAGCCAATTGTTATCTTAGATCTTTGAGCACACTGCCCTCACATGACCCTTGCAAGGTAAGGTATCTTTTTTTTTTTTTCTAAATAAATGTATAATGTTTTCCAGAAAAACCCTCCTGATACCTCTTATATTCTCTTTAAGTCTCAACCAAAATTCCTTGCTTCCTTCTTTTCAAGTTAGGAGGATTTATTTATTTTGGATTTTATTTTAGCTTTAAAAATGATTATTTTATATGCATGCGTGGTTTGCTTGCATGTACCTATGCGCATCGTGAATGCCTGGTGCTCACAGGGGCCAGAAGAAGGCATTGGATCTGAGAGAACTAGAGTTACAAATGGTTGTGAGCTTCAGGTAGGTGCTAAGAATCGAACCTGGGTCCTCTTCAAGAGCAGTACGCCAGCTCTCCAGCCCCAGGAGAATTTATTTATTTTTTTTATAGAGTAGCATTAAATTTAGAGAGATATTGAGGAGAAAGTACACAGACTTCCTTCATATCTTACTACCCTTCCTGTGCCCACCAGCACAGTTCTTCCCTACTGGTAACATTTTGAATCAGTGTGGTGAATTTGTCACAATCAATGAATGAGTATCGATATATTACTTATGAACTAAAGTCGACAGTGAATAGTGTCTGGGAGGATTTGTTACTTGTACTGTCCATTCTGTGGGTGTGAACAAATGGACAGGATGCGTCCATGGTTATACTATCCTAACCAATGGTGTCAATAATCTGAGCCTCTTGGTTCATTAAACCATCCCTGTCGGATGCTCCAATCCCCTAGACACACTTGCTCTATAATCTTGTTCCCTCTCAGGGTTTCAGACTTTTTGTCAGGGACTCACCCATTGAATCTGCCCCCCTCCAACTCTATGTCTGGCTTCCCACAGGACATCTCTGGCTTAATATCTTAGAGCTGTTTCAAATCTATGATGGTTAAAAATGAAATTCTGTTTTTTTCCCTATGAATGTCCTGTGAATTAAAAAAATAATGTTCCAGCCGGGCGATGGTGGCGCATGCCTTTAATCCCAGCACTAGGGAGGCAGAGGCAGGCGGATCTCTGTGAGTTCGAGACCAGCCTGGTCTACAGAGCTAGTTCCAGGACAGGCTCCAAAGCCACAGAAAAACCCTGTCTCAAAAAACCAAAAAAAAAAAAGTTCCATTTTCTGACTTCTGACCCTGTCTTTCCCATCACAATAATGTCTTCAGCATCCACTCAATGGGCCAAATGAGAACTCTGGAAGTTATGTTTGAGTATGGCCTTAGCTCTCTAACACCCCAGTCCCCATAACCATTCCCACAGCCATGCTGAGACAATAGATCTTTCTTTTAAATTTAAAAATCAAACCTGATTTCAACAGTTGTTTATGAGGCTTACATACCCCTGCTATCTCCCCTAGCTCCTCCTGGTGACCCTGGTCAAAGGGACTGCTTGCCAAGTTTGAATTATAGTTAATAATCACTTTAATCATAACAAATGGACTATGTCCCCCACAGAGGCTTTCAAGACCCCTTTCCTGTGGCCTTCTACCTCATCCCTCCCAAACTTGAACTGTTGTGTATTCTGGTGTGACTGTGGCTGGTCTCTCCTCCTTTCGGTCTGAATTCGGTGTCACCTCCTCACCCAGGCTTTCTCTGCACGGTCTGAGAGGTCCCTACTCTGCTCTTTACACCACACTTTGATACTTGGGCTTCATCGGCTCACTCGCTGGATATCTGTAAGCTAGAGGCTGGGTCAGTGAGCTTGGTTAGACACACAGTACGATCCTTGCTGTATAGCACTTGCTTAGTAAATGCTTGGGAACATGTGGTAGGCAGCTGTGATTCTGTTTCCTTCCAATACGCCTCCATTTCCTTGCAACGAGGCCCAAAACCAGAGGAATACAGCACCTCTACCCACAGAAGTGTGATGAGGCTCACAGGTGGGTTAGCTCTTGGAGTCATGCTTGCTAAGAGGTCATCACTCTGAGGCCCAGGGAGGCTCTGAATATCCAGTAGGTGCTCAGCCCTGTGCTCAGACACAGGCGGAAACCCTGCTTGAGCTCTAAAAAGCTTTTGTTTTACATTTATTTATCCTACTTTAGGTGTGTAGGAACTTTGCTTTCATAGTAACTTGTAGAATAAAGTTATTGGCTGACACTCCCACATCACTGTTCATCACTGAAGGGAGTCAGAGCAGGATCTCAAGCAGGGAAGGAACCTGGAGGCAGGAGCTGATGCAGAGGCCATGGAGGAGTGCTATTTACTGCCTTGCCCCTCTGTCTTTCTTGTAGAACCTCAGCCTGCTTTCTTGTAGAACCCAAGACCATCATCCCAGGAGTGGGACTTCCCATAATGGGCTGGGCCCTCTCCCATCAATCACTAATTAAGAAAATACCTTGTAGGCTCTCCTACAGCCTGATCTTATAGGAGGTGTTTTCTTAATTGAGGCTCCCTCCTCTCAGATGACTTTAGTTTGTGTCAGATTGACACAAAACTACTCAACACATGCCTACATATGTACTATCTACACGCCTGGAACTGGGGATATAGATACAGATGTTTGTGAGTTGCTTCGTGGGTGCTGGATTAGACCCCAAGAGCAACAAATGTTCTTAGTTCCAGCACCCAACGTTAGCTCCTTTTTCCCTTCTTGCAGAGATTCCAAGTTCATCCCAACCCTTCTTTAAAATAAGTAGACTAACTTGCCAAATGATTGGCTAATAGAAGAGATGGGGATAGAGCTCTAAGAACATACTGAGTCTCTATATGCTCTCAAGCTAAAGATTCTCATCCTGCCACACATGATGACTGACGTCAGACATGACCTGTCCTTTTATGTGAATCCTTGCCCCTCAAACCCTGGAAACACGCTCAGAATCTTTAAAAAAAAAAGGAGAGAGAGAGAGAGAGAGAGAGAGAGAGAGAGAGAGACCAATACAGACATGAAAGAGAATGAGTCTGCCATCCCCTTCCCACTTCGTTGAGGGAAGGTAGCCTTCCTCTTCTTGGAGGCTGAACAATTCCTTCTTTGTTAATTAGAATGATGAAACCAGCTTGTCTTCTGGGTTGGACCTGGGCTTCTGAAAGGGCTATTTAAGAAGGAGCACACATTTTTAGACAGGGAATAGGAATTATAAAAATATTGCCTTTAGACAAAAAGTGTCTTGATGAGGATTTTAAAGCTGTCACCAGTACTTTATTTTCTGTAATAAACGTCTGTTTGCCACACATCCTGGGCCACCCTGTGTCACTACCGTGTTTGTTCCCCGGTTGCTATTTTAAAGCCTTCTCTAAGCTATTTTCCAGAGTCTCGAATTCTAACCAGCAAATCCATCCGGCCACATTGTGATTTCGTCTATTAATACTCAAGGCCGAACACGTTTGAAGGCTGAGTTCAGAGGTTCAAGGGCATCACTTAGGGGAGGTCGTGGGATTGAACTTGGAGATGGCATGGCAAGCTGAAATGCGAGCAAGAAAGATCGTTAGGTAGATATGGGCCAGTTACCTTGTTTCTGTTGTTAGTGACTCAAATTGGTGACTCCTGAGAATGTCAACACTTTGAAAAGAGTCAGCGACGGGTTGAAAGGAAGAGGTTATGAGGTTGGGCTACACGGGCAGTAGTGTCTACAGGAATAAAAATTAGCTCTGATAGCAGGAGAGCAAATTTCAGATGTCACAGCTCACTAGTTGTGTGACAGTGGTCAATGACCATTAAGAAAACACAGTTTCTTTACTCATCTTGCAGAAGGACCAAGCAAACTAGAACACACGTAAAGGCGTGCAGAGTTTTGTCATAGCAGATGGCCATTGTGGGATACTCTGGCTTCCCTTTCTACTTCCGTAGGGAAAACCAAGGCCTTATCACACCTATGTACGGCACTCAGACCCACCCTTGCTCTAAACCCAACTTGAAAGACTTAGTCCTGTACTCATCGTACGAAACACTTCTGCTGTGCACACAATTGTCTTTCATGTGTTGATCTCCAACTACATACTGATCCTGTGGAGCACCAGTTCTAATTCTTCTTAATAATAAAAACCCCTGGCCGGGCGGTGGTGGTGCACGCCTTT